ACTGTGTGTATATATATATATATATATATATATATATATATACATATATATATCAAATGCGTGCGATGTACAATGTTTCGCAATAGCCACACCCGGTCACTTTCTCCGCCAAAGCCAAAGTCATTCTTGTACCGTAACTTACTATGCTTAATGACGCAAGCTGCCCACGCTCGATCTAACGCGAGCCACACCGTTGATCCGCTTTCCTCTCTCCGTACGTTAGCCAACCGTGGAATTTAATTTACAAGCATCGTCGGATAGGAGGGGAGGAGGGAGGGCAGAAGGGGGAGGAAGAGGGAGAGGGGGGAAAAAAAGGATAATTAAGACGCGACTCTTTAATGGCAAAAAGCGGAAGATCGAGTCGAGTGACGACGGCCCTGACCGAATTTCTTCGCACTTGAACGCTCGTTCATCGAAGATTGTGAAGCTTTTTTAAAAATTCCAACAAGTTCCATTCCATTCCATTCTTTTTAAAAATCAATTGCACGTTCGAGTTTTTATATACATTACAATTTGTTAGTTCGTTTATTATTTTTTTTCATTTTAAAAACTTTATTTACATAACCTAACCTCTCCGAGATTCTTCTTTTTCGATTCTTATGTTTTTGCGGCTTTTGTCATTCATCACAGTATTTTAAGGAAAAAGTGATAAAAAAAGAAAAGAAGACCGAATGAATAGAGATTCTCGAATAAATTGTAACGTACGATATGAAGTGATATCTCTCTCTCTCTCTCTCTCTGTACGAAAAGGATTACCTCTATGCGAAAGGAAGCTGTGGAGCGTGGTGAACGCGAAATTCCTTCCTCCACCCGAGGAACCCTAAATGATGCGGAGCACCGAACTCTCGGTATTGCAGTAAGGAGAGGAGAGAAGTCGCTTGCAACCGGTTTCAACAAACTAAAGCTAAATAAAGTCATGTAGCGGCGCGAACGAAGGAAATCGTTCTGCCGATAATTGCGCCCACGAAAAACTTTTCGAGCTTGGCCGCGGAACGATCATTATTCGCCCCGTAAATATTTAAAAACAGCAATCATCTTCGTTATCGAGTTTCCATCTGTATAATGTACCACCTGTGCGCGTACGAACCTGTACAAATTAATAATAACCGTTTCGTTTCATTTAATAAGAAATAAGGATTCGTGATTAAATTAAATTAATTTAATCCTTTTGTTTGTTTTGTTTTTTTTTTTTTTTGTAAACGTCGATTCGTCGTCTTCAAATAAATAAATTTAGTTTCGACATTGATCGAGAGAGTTGTCGTTTATCTGAGATTTGATTACAGAGCGGAACCGTCGTAATTCCCATTCCGGAATTAATTTTCAAGGAACAAGTTCTCGGTATAATTAATAACAATTCCTTCAAGCGATACCTATAATCGATCAAAGAGGCAAACATTCTTTCGCAACTCACCCCTTGTCTATTCTTTATGCCTCGTAGGGTTTGATACGTTGATAAGTCGACCCTTCCACGGCGATTCATTTGAATATAAATCCGGCTGTCTACACACGTTGAAAATCTCTCGGGAACGAACATGTAGGATAAGAAGGATGGGGAACCAAGGGAGGACCAAGAAACAAGTCGGACGAAGAGAGGTAGAGAAGAAGGAGACGAAACGAAGAATTCTTTTTTCGTTGCACATTGTAACCGCAAACCGCGGTGGTCGACCATGCAGGATATTTTTTATTCACCTTATTTTGGGTTCCTCCGCGCGTTTGACTTTCTTCTTTTATATCGTTTTAATATTCGCGCACGAATAGAGTTTACAAGCATACTTGTTGTTGTACGTATATAGTTTCTTCGTAACTTTATTTCAGAATATCGTGGTAAATGCGAAATATGAATACTTGTAATTGCATCTGCAAAAAGAGTTAAGAAATTTTAGAATATACGTGAAAAATATAATTCAATAAAGAATTATTTAATCAAGAAAATTAAATTTAAGAAATATTTTTAAGAAATAATTTAGGTAGCCCGATATATACGATATGTAAGAGAGAATAATGAATATATAATTCAAGGATATAATATTGTTTCACGAGTTCGATGACCCGAAACTATGGAAGATTTTAAAAATGATAGTATTTAAAATCTTTTTCACTTCAATTTTACCGTTATTCATTTACATATAATCATTATATTCTGGTTTTAATTTTAATACTTGCAAACAACTTACATAATCACTTTTCGAATGAATAAAGTAAGGTAACAAAGGGATACGATATTCAATAAAAAAAAAAAAAAAGAACTCGAAGAATACACTCGATACCGCTCGAAATTGGATAAGAAAGATTCTGTCACGATAAATTTATGATG